CAGCTGCGCTAAATCAGACATGCCAATTTCCCCTTCTTCGCTGTCAGAGTCACTTTCCGTGCAGCGCAGCTCCTCAGAAATAATGCCGGCTTTTGCAAAAGCTTGAACAACAGAGCCAGCAGACACGTTAGTCCAAGCATCTACAATCCATCCGCAAACGGTGGCGTAACTCGCCCGGCGCTGCCTTCCACTTATCGTGAAACTGTGGTCTCCGTCTGTCATCCATCGCTCCCACGCCGCTCGCAGCCTTACTTTGAACGGCCGCTTCACACTGATGTCGAGCGGTTGAAGTTCCTTTGTCAGACCCCCGGGATAACGGCGAGCACAGCGTCCATTTGATTCACCTTTTTTTTCACATCGGCTGTGAGATGGGCACGCAGCGATGGTGATGCGTGGAAAAAACCACCTGGTCTCCTCACATAGGCTACACCTCCCTCAGCTACGCTTTCATCATCTCCTCATCCATCCAGCCTTTTCCATTTGCGTTAATATATGTCATCAGAGCGCTGTGTCTGTCTCGCTGTCAGCTCCCAGATCAGCTTCTCTGATTGGTTGCTGTGGCGCGTCCAGCAGCAAAACTTCAATTTTTCCATCTCGAGCAGCAGCAGCTCGTTGGCAGATGCTTAAACGCTCCTGCTGCTCAAAACGCGCTGCAGGACCTTTTGCTGCACCTATACGCGCGTCAACCATTGACTTTGCATGTAAACTCGCTGCTTCTGCTGCACTTGCTGGGTCCGGTTCACACCGATGTCGAGCGGTTTAACAGCGAGCACAGGGTTAATTTGTTTCCCCATGTTTTTCACATCAGCTGTGAGATGGGCACGCATGGAGTTACATATTAACAGCGATGGTGATGAGTGGGAAAAAAAACACCTGGTCTCCTTACATTCAGCCACTCTTTCATCATCTCCTCAATGAGGTGGTCTCAAAAGTCGCAGTTACAACACACATAGGGTGCACCGCACCATAGGGCGCACTGCACATTTTGAGGGAAAAAAAAGACGTTTAAGTGCGCCTTATAGTCGTGAAAATACGGTACACGACAGCTTGAGTCATCCCTACATGTGACATTGCTTGTGAGGTTCTGTAGAAGTTTCCATCAACAGACCAGTGGACTCACAAGATCGAATGTTGTGCAAAAAACTGAGATCACCCAATTACAGTGAAATGTAGAAACACAAACCAATTTGAGTCAACTTAAAACTGCAATAGCTGCTGAACAAAACTGCCTGCAATTAAAATCTGTGTTTCATGTTTATGTCAGGATTTTGCCACTGTAGGTTGCATATTTTCTAAAGCGGATGAGTTTCTACTTTGCCAACATGTTTCACTTCCTCTCTAACTTATGAATTACAGGCCAATTTGCTGCCAAGATCTGAGCCAAACGGACCTCTCGTCTACTTTGGACAAGCTGCCAGCAGTCTGTTTAGAAAAGTAAAAATCTCAAGGAGCAAAAATTGTTCAAAGGGATGAATGGTCCTGGCACAACAAAGAAAAACCATGTCATAAATAAAGGGATGTTTCAGTTCAACAGTCTCCCTAGACAGGTCTTAAGTTACAATTGCACATCATCATTGGAATAATATTTATTAGGGGCGGCAACACTTGAGGAGTTCTGAATAGAAAATATTGATGAAAACGTTTTTTATCTTAAAAGTTTAAATATTTACATAATTTTTTTTTACAATTTTGCTATAATTATTAAGTGGGTTGCTCTGTCAGCTAAAACCATGTTTTAGAGTCTGAATACTCCAGTTAACAATTAATCCATTACTAAATTAGTTGATGATTATTTCAATAATCAATTAATCCCAATAAATCTGATTATTTTTTTCAGTCCTAATATTTATTAATAAATTATGCCTTCCTCTACATGTATAGAAAAAATGAAAAACAAACCAGATCTTGGCTTACCTTTCTGGAGGCTTGCTGAAATTTTTATTTGTGTAAATTTCTTCCAAACTGAACTCCTTCTTTTTCACCCTGATGGAGAAAAACAGAAATGTTATGCAGTCAACCAAGTGCTTACTTAAGCTGCTGAGTTAAGTATTTTTTCCCCTTTATTTAAAAGAATGAGAAACTACCCTCTATTCAAGCAGACTGACAAAATACGGTTTCTACACTTTGATATTCAACTTTATTATTCTACCAAATTGTGTCACAATCTGGAAAAGTGTAAGCCTTCCTTTTTAATGATAGTTACAATTATAACTCCTCATGGGGGTGGCTCTGGAGCTAGTCCTGGGCTACACTGCTGCTGTCTTCCATATTGTGGCATTTGGTCACAACCACTCTACTTTTATTTTTTGAGTGCCTGTATATGTCTGTATGGATGTGATTGTGTGAATGTGAAGTTATCTCTTTATCATTGTTGGCCTAGCGGGTTGAAGCAGTGCACTTGCGCTCTGATCCCCACAGCCTTCATTTTGGGTTCCTGAGCAAAACCCTCAACCCCTGATTGCTCCCCAGGCACCACACAACGGCGGCCCACTGCTCCTGAAGGGGATGGTTCGAAATGCAGAGAGCGAATTTCCCCGTTGTGGGCAATAAAGGGATTTAGTATCATCAGTATGGGTGTTTGCCTCCCTCACCCTACCTGCTGAACATCCTAGGCCCGAAGTATGAGCAGGGGTGCCTACTCCCCACTAGTGAAAGGTTCCAATTTCTGCTGATGGTTCTCTAGGTGCAGAGTTGGGTCTTCTCAGTCTCAGACATGCAGTATAGATGTCAGTTTAGACAGGCAACTGTCTGACTTGTTAACGTTTACTCAAAAATGTATAAAAACACCTGTTAAATGCATATCCAAGTAAAAAGGAACCTTTGGTGCATATAGCAAAGCCTGGTCTTTCCGAAGGCAACATTGAATTTTTAACCTATCCAGTTGAGCCATACTGTAACCATCACCAGTATGTACTTATTGATTAAGGAAAAAAAAAATCTTGTTTTTACCTTACCAGAAATTATGTTTTGTTTTGATACAACTTTACATGAGTGGCTAAAAATATTGATTCATACTCCAAATTACGCTAAAGATAGAAAGCACAGAAGTATTTGCTTTCGATTTTTTAGTATCGTATTCTGTAGGCATAAACAGACATATCCTCCACCTTTATCTAATGTACTATTCCGTACTAATAGTATGATCGAATTTTAAGAGACCATACCCAGAATTGGTGGACAGAGTCATGACTTTAAAGTAGAGAAGGTGGCAGCCATTTTGGCTAAAAGAAAATTCCAACATCCTGATGACAAAATTATGCTCTTCAAACCCATTATCTCAGGGAGTTAATCTCCACCCTCTAAATAATTTCTTACTCTTTATCATCATAGATTAAATAATCATTTTTTGGTAACAATTTAAAGAGTTCTCTAAAAACCAAAAACAGGCAAATTCTCTGTTACAAAATGTTTCATTAATCTAGAAATGCATCTTTTAGCATAATTCTAGCCCTTTGCCTTTGGCCCCAATAATAGATTTTCCACAGTAATTAAAAGTCTCCTCCAAAATAGATTAATTGAAAGCATAAAACCTTTGTTTAAAAAAAAACCAAAAAAAAAAAAAAACACATCAGTAAATGTAGGAAAGCTGTACTACAATTAAGGGCTGGTTATATTCCTGCAGCAGTGTGTCGCAGTGAGGTTGACGCAGACATTTTTGATTTATGCTCAGTATTGATTCGTGGTCTGTGCTACACGCTGTGCGTCTAGATACGGTCGAGGCAGTGAGGAAGTGGGGGCGAGTTTGTCCGACAACGGAGGGACTCGACGGCGGAAAAAAAGCAGGGATCAAGGAGGAAAAAGGGTCCCAGCGTTCTTGCGCACCTCGATCTTCTAGCTGGTCTAACTTCACAAGTTGTTTTCCGCATTTTCGGTCATAAAAACAAAACAAGCCGGCCTCCTGTCTGCGGTCAGTTACAATTTGGGAGAGGTGCAGCGGAGTGTCTGCGGAGGGGGCTGGGATGGCTTTTTGTTCACTGCAACACCTATACAGAGGACCTGGTTTCAAAGTATAAATCAACCTTTAGGGAAATATCAGCTGCCATTATGCTGTATCTGCATGTTATCTCAGCCTCATGCCTAATGTTAAGCACCTAATCTTATGTACTAAAGTTGAAATTCTAGGAATATACAGCTGTAGTGTAAAGGTTTACCAAATGTGTGGGCTGGTTTTTATTTAACCTACCTGATGGGTTTGGGCAGACCCATAGGTGTCAGGTTGGTCTGAGGTTTTGGTAAAGTTTTTCGAATCTTGATGGATGACACCTTTTTTTGTTCTTCATGTTTCTTGACAACCTTAAAAAACAAAATAAAAATAAAAAAACAACCCATTAAGAACATCATAAGCTCCTACACTATTAAGCTTTTTCCTTCCACTGCTAAAAAACCTCTGAAATTTTTCACAAGCTTCAATACAATTTTCTAGTTCAAATCCACCAATAATGGCACTTGAAAGTTTACACACCTGGATCCAATTTAAATTTAATATTTTAAAAGGAATTTAAAATAACAAATAAAAAAAGGAGCAAGGATCAAACTGAGCTGGTCTTTTCCAAGGACAGAGAGGCGATATCTCCCTCTCCACCTCATTTTCAGGACACCTTAAATCAGATGTGGTGGCTTTCAGGAACCCAAAATAATGTCCAGCTGTAAATTAATTAATGAAAATCATAAATTAATCGAAATACTATTCATTTCTGACCTCAAACCCTCTGTTGTCACAGTTAGTTACAGGCTCTGACCAATATCACAAACATATTTAACATTTTAATCATATTTTCTGCAAAAAAAATTTGTTTTCTAAATTAATTGTAACAAAAAAAGCATCTCATTGTCAAGAAGGACAAAGTTTGGATGGTATTTTTCATGATCTTAATCGTTTACACAGATGTGTGTAAACTTTTAAGAGCCAATGGAGTGACCGGAATTAATTTTACTGGTACATGTGCAATTCAACTTTAAAGGAAATTATAACTATGTAGGTATTAAAAGAGCATACATACTTTAATCTCAGAGTCAGACAGAGCTTTTTCCTCTCTCAACCCAGCATCTTCAAACTCCTGACCGGAGGAGCTGGTGTCTTCGCCATAATCCTCCTCTTCGCTTTGCTGCCTCCTCTCCGTCTCGTACGCTGCCGGATTCTCACTTTGAAGTAATACGGTTTATATCAGAACAACATATCAGAAAAGCGTAACGAAATAAATCACTGTAAGAACTCCTACCTGCTGCTGGATTCCAAAACAGTAGCAGCTTTAGATCCTAGAGTTAAACCTGGAGAATGCCACGTGGTGGAACATGAAGAGGAAGGGGGGTGGCGAGGGAACACGGCAAGAAGTATTGGGGCTGGTAGCAGTTCCCCTGCATTCAAATTTTTTGGAAAGGAAAGCCAGAGGGCTTGAGAGGAAGCAGGAGGCAAGAGCGGTGAGGGAGCTGCAATGGGAATGTGTGTGAGTAGGTGACAGGTGATGGGTCATGGATTCGCAAGAGGCAGATCTTCTTGATGGGTACACCTCTTTCCGAAGACAGAGAGGGGCAATCTCCCTCTCCACCTCCACACTGGAAACTGTGTGCCGACGTTCCCGTCTAAGGGACCTCTGAGCGTGGGAATTCAAATGGCCGTGGTGATGATGGTAGTGGTGAGATGCATGAGCCCTGTGATGTGGTGAATGTGGAGAAGAAGTCCAGGGTGATTCATCAGAATGGAGGATGAGGATGTCTGGGCATGAGTAGCTGCGTAAGAGTCGCCTTGAAAAGTTATCTTGTGATGCGTGAACATGTGAGGAAGCCAGATCTGCATCCTCCACCGTGATAGATCTGGATTCCTCTTCAGTTTTACAAGTCCTGTTATGCAAAACCCTGCATCTCCTTCTTTGGTTATCTGTTCTTCGTTGCCTAGTGTTAACATGTCTGATCTTCGGGTTAGGACTACAGCTGCTGAATTCAGTCTTTGAGTCTTTGAGAAAATTCTGAGCTGCCATGGAAGCTGAACTCTTCCGTTTCTTTTCTGTAACAACTCTATCCTCCTTATTCAACCGTCCGGAATAGCGTAGAGGAAGTTTCAAATTTGGTTGTTGGAGATTATTTTCAGGTTTCATTCCCAAAAATACTCCGACTTCAGATGTTTTACCTCTGCAACTGTTTAGCTGGCTGTCTTTGATTTTCTCTTGAGTTTCAGCTAAGACTGAGAGCTTAACAGCACTTCGCAGACTGTTCTTGAGCCTTTTAGATGGTTCCTGTGCTCCTCTGGTTGATGCATCTTCTCTTTGATCACTTAGAGCGGAGTTATTGTCTGTGTTCATAGGTTCCAGTCCATCAAGCAACGAGACAGGCACCAAAATTCTCTCAGATTCAGCTTCTAAACTTTTGTGATTTGGCGTTTTGCGTTTTAACGGCTTCGTATTCGTATTCCCACACTTGCTTAAGTGCTGGAGGTCCTTCATTGCAGGGCGTACAAGGACTACAGATAATTGCCTTTTCACATGTTTAGCAGGGGGGATAGGCACGGCAGTCTCAACATTCATAATATCAGCACTGCTTACATCAAATTTACTAAGAGTTGTTTTTGTTTGCAGTCTTTTGCGTGGACTACTAAGCTTTGCTTTTTTAGACTTTGAATGGTGTGACTCACTAATACTGTCATCCAATAAGCAAACCATCCTGTTGTCCTGTTCGTTTTTTCCTTTTGTGTTTGCTCTTGTTGACACAGCCCGTCTTTTGTCGTCAGGTTTTAGAGTTTCCTCTACACCTGCAATACTGTGCATGACTGCAACCCTCTTTCTGGGAGCTCTTGTCCCCTGCAATCCATAGACATCCACAGGCAGTGCCTTGTTTTTCCTATCTAGAGTTTGTTGAGAAGCACAGTTGTGCTTCAGCCCCCTCTTGGCTAGTGCGAGGTTTGACACTGAATGCATCTCAGGGATTTGTTGGCACTCCATCTGCTCTGTATCTACAGAAGGCTTCAGTGGGCTTCTATTTGTGCTGAGGCTTTGTCGAACCAGGCTGCAACCTTCTAAATTAGCAGTCTCGTCACTGTTGAGCTGTAGTTTAATCAGTCGATTTCTGTCCGCAGAGTCATCCTCCACTGATTCATATCCATTTCCTGTATCTTGTCTCAAGAGTGGTTTTAAACTGGACAGTTTGCCTTTCGGATCCTCCACAGCAGAGTAAACTTTTAAGCTTGATTCATTTGAGGCACATACTTTGGATGAAGGTTGTAACAGGACGGAGGATCCCCAAAGTTCAGCAACTCCTTCAGAATCTATGCAGGTTAAGGAATCATGCACCAAAGGCACTACATCAGGTACGGGTGTACCTTTTTCACTTATTGCATCTTCTAAATGCTGTTCAGTCCTACATACTGAATCATCAAACATCAGTCTTTTAGCATATTTGGGTGCAATATTTGCAGCACTCTTTGTTTCTGAGGAGTCAATGAGGCCATGCTGGCTGGTAAGAAATTGTGCTTCTGAACTAAACTTATTGCATTGCTCGGATTCATTGACATCAGTTTCTCCTTTGACCTCCAGCTCCTTAACCGTGGGTGGTGGAGGACTACTGGCTCTGAAGAGTTTAACTGGAGTCATCACAATCTCAGTGAAGCTGGTCATCTTTGATTTTAGGGACTCAAAAAACGGGACGATCACCCATCCCCTTGAGACAGAGGTGTCTTTACTAAGGTCACCACCTGTTAAATCCCGACATGTGTCCACGTCAGCTTTAGTCACATCAGGATTTTGTGGTATCTGTTCTTGCAATGGTTCCAAGACATCTTCCAAAGGAGAGACATCGGCCTCATTTTCTGGGTCATTTGAGTTCTTCAGCCTATAAATAATTAAAGGGAAACAAAAAAAACAAAGGCAACGAATCAGAGCTGCTTTGCAAACAGTACATCATGAAATAAACTTTGTTTGGTAGGAAAACTTAAGAATAAACATTCCAAGTATGTTTACTTACTCATTTTGGTGCTCCGCTGTAAAACTGATAGAAAATCCAACCTGCAAATAAAATGCATATTTTTTCAGTTGGTTTGGTCCATGTCATCAGGATGAGTTAACATTAGCATATTATTCCGTAAAGGTTTAAAAAAAAACTATCCACTGGACTTGGTTTCCAAGGTTTGAAGACGTTTCGCTTCCCCTCCAGGAAGCTTTCTCAATTCAAATGTCAAACCTTGGAAACCAAGTCCAGTGGGTTGTTTTTTAAACCTTTACAGAATGACTATGACCTGGATAACTGAGAATCTTCATCAGCATATTAGCATATTATGGAAATGTATATTCTTAATGTGGATTACTTAAACAACTTCGGGAATCTTCTAAAACAATTGGTACATTAGTACGAGTACAGGATTTATTTTCTTAGATCCACATGCACCCCTATAGACATTTATTAACATCCATTTGCCTAAACACTCAAATTGAGGCTAACATGTTTCTTCCAGACATGCCATTTTCAATAATAACAGGGTTACAATGGAAAACTTGTCCTGATCCTCTGCAATCAACTTCAGTCATCTGAAAGTGGTTCTGTGGGTCTGACGGTGGAAAAACATGGCAAAGCAGGCTTTTTCAACCAAATGATGATTCAAAATCTGTATAAGAACTGGTTTCTGAATGAACAATGGGACCATTAAGATTCTGAGACGGCACTGGCCTCAACCAATAGGATATTTTATGGACCATGCTTGGAACATAGATATTCAGGAAGAAGAGTTTAAATAGAATAATATTCTGTGTAGATTTGTTATTTCTATAAAAAATTAAACACGTTATTTCTGTGCTGCTCAATCTGAATTCTATATTCCAGTTTGTGGCATTTGATTGTTCATGGTATCTTTTAGTAATCAAGTAATCATAAATCTATGTTGACAAAAATCAGTTGAGGAGTTCCTCAAGGGCCCACTCTTTGGCTACGTTTGTTTCAATTCAAAAATAACTCTCTGGTTTACATCACATCTCCCTCACCAAATATCTGCTGATAACAAGCTTATATCCATGTGGCAAAATGTCTAAAGCCCCCTACAGTCTTCAGGTCAATATCAATGAGGATCAGATGTGACTTTCTTCCAGCTTAATGCAGATAAGACATACATCACCGTTTTGGTCCCAAAAATGCAAATGCACATCAGCTAAAGACCACAGACCATTCAAGAAACCTCAGTTTGTTGAATACAAATTCCTTAAAATCAAATAAAAAATGTAAAAAGCCTCTTCAAGCTTACTATGTCCTTGAAAAACAATGCAAAAATAAAACATTTCCTGTCAAAAAAGGAAAGAGAAAACTGATATATGCTTTTATTTACTATATAGTAGATTATTGGTCTGTTACTAATATATCTGTAATAAATAATAATTATCCAAAATGCTGCTTCTCCAGTGAATTGAACAGACCAACAATGAAGCTCAGTAAAATAGCTTTTTTGGTGCCACTGCTCACAAAATTTAAGGTAGCTGCAGGTGCTGATATTTCAGACACTGGCTGCAATCCCCTCTAGAAACTCTAGAGGAAAGGCCAGTTACTTCATCTAGTTGGTGTGCAGTTTAACAAATGCAGCCTGAATGGATCGATTTATATCCTAGATCGACCCAGAGAGGACTTAATAGCTTGATGTTCTTAAGTTTGACCACCATAATTTTATCCTTTGATTTATTTTTTTTACAATAAACTTTTGCACAAAACTATCGTTTTGAGCTTTGTTATCAAATACTTGGCTCTGAACGACACATTTTAAATCACTGGAAGCCCTAAAACATTAGGACAATAATTCCCCTGATGACTGTAATACAAATTTCTCACCAGCTTTTGATATTTGACATAAAAATAAAAAGCACATCTACTTATATTTATAAATCAACTCATAAAATTTGGAACAAACATATGTTGTGAAGCACTTGATTTTAGAAGACGTCTAACATTTGTTTCACAGTGAAAATTAGGTCAATAGATATGCAGTTCATTCTGTAATATCAGGAGTGTGTGTTAGTAGGTCAGATTAGACACCCGGTTGCTTGTTTGTGTCGGATGCAGCAGACCGTGAAGGAGGATTAAATCACTCCATTAACCTTCACACATCTATCTGCACACAACCACACACAGCTTTAATAATGACAAATTATACAGAACTAATTACTTCCAAATCGGCTGCTCTCTCCAAGAGAACGGAAAGAAAGAAAACTAACCTTGTTTGGTTTCTCATGTACATGAGTCTTTCCAACTCCAAGTAGATTTGACTGTGATGCTTGCACCTACGACAGACGAAGACCAAAAGATTTAAAACAGAATGTAATCAACTCATAGTCATTCTATTAATGAGTCATAACTTGATCCACTACCATATTTGTGCTCTCCCTTTGCTTCTTTGTTGAGGACGGATTTGTTTCAGGTTGGTTCTGGGCAGCTTTGATGTCTGCGCTTTCCAGCCTTTTCTGAGTTCTGGCTCTGATTTCTTGAATGCAACCCCTCCTCCTTTGTCTAGATGGACCATCATTTCCAAAGCTATAAGTACAATTAAGAAGAATTTTTTTCTTACAAAAGTGGAAGAAAAACAAAAAACAGAAAAGGTTTGTAGTAAAAGTTCATCTACAGTCCAAACAAAATTGCAAACTTTGCATGTTTAAATATAATTTTAATCATACATGGGGAACACACAGGGTGAAAAAAATATTCAGTTAAAAATGCAATACCTTCCCTTGTAAATTTATGAATTTACATCAAATTACAGCATCCTAACCCAAGAACTTACTAACTTACATTTAAGATCAATATCAGTTAAATAGACCCTACCTGGTTAAATTAAGTGGGCTAATAGATTTTACAAGCAAGATATTCAACTAGATAAAGGGTTTTAAAAAGGAGTAAATAAAGTAATTGAATCTAAACATGTAGCGGATCACTGTCAGAACCATCAATCAACAACAGAAAAAATAGGTTAAAAAAACAATATTTTTGGCCAAATCACAAAAACTGCAAAGAAAACATGGGAAATTCCTCCGAAACAACTTAAAAACTGGTTGACAGTTATCCATCATATCTGTATTGCTGCATAACAACTTTTAGCATAGTTAGCTATCGTGTTTAAGAGGGAGCTCAGACAATTGTAAAGCGGCACTTTAAGTCACGTCTCATTTAGTGAGAATCGACTGTCTCAAGTTACTTAGCCGAGTTTTAGAGAATGGCAGCCCACAAAGGGCATCATTACACACCATGTGCTGAATGACCTGAACAATCATTTCATTTACTTCAAATAATGATAATACTCAGGTCAAAAGTTGCACATAATTGCTTTAAAAAGACTAAACATCTTAAAGTTAAGCACATTACACAATGTGGACGCATTTGCATCAATTTGTAATTAAATCTGGCCCATAGCGATCCTGCATGAAACGAATGAACTACTAAAACATTGTAATAACCCAATTGCCTATCAGTACTACTTAGGCTGCATTCACACTGTAGCCCTTAACACTAAATTCTGATTTATTTATTTTTTTTATCTGATTGTTTGGCATGGTTGTTCACATTTCCAAATATATGTGACTTGCATGTGATCTCCTGTATGAACTTCATTCACACAACTTAAGTGTCCATGTCACGAGCGAGCATGTTCTGTGTTTACAGAAGTAAAGATGGATAGTAGTGCTAGAGTGCATCTTGCAATCTTTCATTTCTTTCCCAACCTAGAGCTTTAACAAAACAAGCTTTTCAAGAAAGTTGAAAATAAAGACTGCTCTCTGCATTATCGTCCGCCATGGTTGTTGTTTTTCTTGCCACTTCTGTCTAGCAAGATGCAGAATAGTGAACTTCGTTGAGTATTAATGACCTTCAGCTCAGATCAACGCAACCTGGCCGTTCAGTCACAGGTTGCATTTGAAAAAAAAAGTCTAGGGCTGAAACAACTAATCAGATTAATCAATTTATTGAAATCATCAACTAATTTAGCAATAGATTAAACGATACAGGTCGCATATGGGCAAAAAATAATAATAAAATTCTTATTCGAGTCACTTCAGGCTGCTATGTGAACGTCACAAAATATATGAGGAGAAAAAAAAAAAATGATACAAAAAGGTGCAAGAGCAACTATACCTGGGGGTGATTGAGGAAAGGGGGAGGACGGGTGATGGAGGTTCACTGAGGGGAGGTGCACTACAGACAGGAATTGGGGGAATAGCATCTTCATCCATTGGAAAAACTATTTGGGAGAGCGAGTCAGAGGGAAAAGTCAACATCCCTTTCACTCAGTCTTTTCCTGTTCCTGACAGTCTCTGTAAGTCACGAGTAAAGGAAAAACAACAACAACAAAAAGAAAACCATGCAGGATATAACATTTGAACAAAAAATAATGTTACAAAGAGAGGTGATATTGTTGATATGTTTCTCACTTTTCTTTCGCAGGGATGGGAGTTTTTTTCTAAAATCAAAAGAACAGAATATGGTTTAAATAAACAACATTAAAACATTGGCACTAAAACATTATCTCAGAAATCAGAGCTCAGGCACCAGTAGAGTATTATTCTAAATCAGAATTCTCAAACATACATCCTTGAGATCTATAGTCTACTCTACCGGGACAGGTGTCCATAAGATTAGCCAACTGCTCACTACTATACAATGTCTGTGACCTCTTGCTTAATTGGATACAAATGATCTGAAGCTAATTATTTATATCAGTATCTTTAACTTTATTTTATAAACAAAGCAGCCATACTGGATTTGACCAGCAGACTTTCCAGAGCATTCTCCGCACATTTCCACCTAGAAACGGTTAAATCCAACATGTGAAGACAAAGAGAATCCACCATAAGAGTGTTATACTTGTACCTCAGATCTATAAGTCAGCTACAGGTAAAAAAATCTGCTGAACTTAAAGTAACTTAAATGCACTGTAATTCAGCTTTGAATGACAGCAAGTCTCAGACCAAGCATTTCTGAACTTCAAAATAATCCATTAGAAGCTGTTTGGAAAATGGAAAGTAAGAGAACATGCATCAGCATAGGTAGACGCACACAAAATATAAAAGGGATCAAATTAAACTAAAAATTTAAAAGCATTTAAATGGGGAAAAAGCTACTTTTTAAATTACTTTCAGTCACTTAAAAAAAGAGCATTAACTTTGCAAAATAACAGCCCATATCATATAATTAGCCTCACCCATTGCGATGGAAAAGGCTCAAATAGTAGGACAATTATGTTTAATAAACTTTGATCCAAGTTTCTTAATCAATAATTTATTTTCAAATTTTATTACTTCATTCCCACTTGTTTTCGGGGTGGGGTGGAAGGAAGAAACTCTGCAATCCAGTTAAATCTTCTATGTATTAGTAAAAGCTCTCCATAACTACAACTGAAAAGTACATAAGAAGAAATAAACAATGGATGTTTTGTTTTAAACTTAAGTCTTGTTAAATGTTGGATGACTTAAGCGAGCTATGGTCGATAAAAAGTTATCAAGGTCCTATCAGCTGAAACAGCGTTCTTAAAAATCCATAAAAAAGTCTTAAATAAACTGCGAAAACTGTGATAATACAGCAATATTTCACTGAACGTTGTCAGTCGAACGAAGTGGTCGAAATTCAGCGTGGTCTATTTCCTGGAAGGGATTTTCTTAATTACAAACTTTTAATTGTAGGCTAAGTTATCCATAGCATGAGAAAAACAATTACGCTACATTTTAATTGCAATGTATAAATTACTTTTAACTTGATTAAGGGATTGTTTCCTGTGACTCCATCATGGTTCTGCTACCCCTATCAGCAGCAGGTTTGCACCAGGTAGTAGTCGTAGCCGGGAACTGTCATTTCTCCTGGCTTTTTTTATGACGTCTGAATAATAAGCGGGAGTGTATCTTATTTTCTTGGTCTTATCAAATGTAACTTAACATCGTTAAATAAACTCACCTATAGCCTTCAACTGGACCTTGGGTCTGTATCCCAAACCATCTGTAAACAAGACATGCCGGACGGACGGATGGACGGCGCCCTGCAGCGAGTCGCTAATGTATCCGTTTTTTTACAACTAACTACCAGACAAGCTGAACTAGCCAATCGGAGCGCGAGTTCTATTCCGCCTGAAACGCCTAATCGAAATCTGACCAACAAGGGAGTGTTAGTTGTGGACGTCATTGAGAGCAGCCAATCAGGTATGCGACTGGAAACGCATGAAAGCTGCTTTTTTTTTTTCAATCTCCTCCATTATATTATAATATATGGAAAAATAGAAAGAGAAAAGCACCAACATTTTTATTATCTATTCTTTCTAAATAACTTCCAGACATTATCTAAATTTTTTTAGCTGTGCATTTTAGATTAAAAAAAAGATAATAGTAAGCTAAACAATTTGTCGCATCATATGACCAACAGTAAATTCTATCTTCCAAATATTTAAAATGGCATCAATCATTTTTTTGCCATTGTTGGGTGAGAAATCAGCTGCCATTATAGTGCTGCAGTCAACTTTAAAGATATGTTATTTTCCAGGGGTGAAAGTAGAAGAAAATAAGCAAAGACCAAAAGACTTGTTAAAATATGAATTAGCTGGTGTCTTTTGTAGAATAAAATGCACAGAAGAAAAAAAAAAATAGAATAATTTTTCTATGTGGATAAATTAAATCACACGCATGTTTTGAATTTCAAGTTTCTTTTTAGTCTGTCCTGGTCTTCAGTTACTGCCAACATTTTTTAATAGTGTCATATATCAAACATTATTAAATTTACTTCCATGTTTTTCCTGAAGCTGTACCACATGCAAACATGAAGGATGAACTGGAATCAAAATCTGAGATTAATGTGGAATCATTCGAAGGTTCTCAAACTGATCTGTTGCCTTGTGATGTTGGAAGTGTGAACTTTTTTATGCGAGGGCACAATTTATCTTTATTCTAAAGTAAGTAGACTATCATACAAAAGTTTCTTTATTATGGTAATACTAATTTAAACCATACTGAAGGTATTTTGTTAACTGGATTTGCATGTTTTGTGATATTAAATAGCTGATGGAGATTTTCTGTCATTGGGATTTTTTTAAATCAATATCTTAAATATACTTAAACACACATGAGATGTTAAACTTGTTTAAATCTACACAAACATTGACACCATACGTGTTGAATTTGTTTTTATTTAAAAACAACTTGGAGAAAACAAAAGGCAGGGTTAAAACAATCCATATTTTTTTTACACTAAATTCCCAGAAGTAAAGATTGAAGAAAGCCCATAATCAGGAAACGCAGAACACAGGAAACTGGCGGTGATTTTCATGATGGGGCATGATTCATGTGTAGAGGTCAAAATCGATCCTTTTTGAGTTATAGAACTGGGATTCTCCCTGATCCACCCTCCTGCAGTAGACGCCGGTGCTGAAGTAACCTTCATCCACCCAACCCTGGAAAAACACACATTAAGAAGATTAAAACACACAAGGTCTGAGTGGGGGTTAAATGAAGGGGAAGCTAACCACTCTATAATCTAGTAAACCTTGTCAGCTTTCAAGATATTTGGAACAGGCATATAGGACAAAAGTCTGATTGCTTATTTATTTTGTATTTTTATGTATTACCCCAAAGACTTGTTTATTCTTAAGATGTAATCTGAATTTAATGGCAGAAAGTACTCACATCTGGAAAAAATCCAAATACAAACACTTTAAATATTTTGCTTTTAGGTATTAAATGAATTACCTGCATCTGTTCGCTGGTGAAGGGTCCGTAGATTTCTGACTTTTCCTCATTCTCCCATTTGTACTCCCACATGACTTCATCACTCACTGTAAAACAGAAATCATTGAATTAAACCAAGCAGATTTGATAAAAAATAAAGGTAAACATAAAAATGTAAGACATGAGAACCTCTATTGTCCTGCTCATCTTTGCTTTCAGATTTGTCGCCGACCTTCTCGTCAAATTTATCACCAAACATGTCGAGCTCATCTTGTTCCTCATCGCCATCATCCCCGCCTCTTTCCTGCTCCACCGCCGGCCTCTTGCTGGTCATGCTTTTCATCATGTAGGCTAATTTTTCATAAGTTTGTTGATATATTTCGAACATCCCGGATCCAACCAGTCTGTCTGCTAAGGCGGTGAGCCTGTCAAGCTTTTCCGTGTCCCTTTTAGACTCCTCTGTGGGCTCTTTCTCTTCCCTCAGCTTCGCCTTCTTTCGCCCACTCAGGCCTCCTAACCTCCGGAGAGCAGTGGCGACTGTTTCCCCGGGTTGCAACATCTCGATCACAGCTTTGGTGAGCTGCTGCTGTGTGTAGGAAGCCAGCGGATCCTCTGCAGGCTCCATCTCCTCTTCCTCCTCTTCTTCTTGGTCGGCCTGCTGCTCTTCTCTCTGCTTTTCTTCCTCAGCTTCATCCTCGTCACCAGCTCTGCGTTTTCGTTTGGCTCCAAGGCCTTTCTTCTTTTTCTTAAAAGGTTGCTCCTTTATTTTCACCTACAAGAAAATTTGTTTATTACGTGCTGCAAATTGCTTATAAAACAAAATGTTTCTGTTTTTTTTTTATGTAAATACCCAGTCTATGTTGTCAAGCCAGTTGTCTCTAATCTGTGTTTCCTTTTTGATGAAATAGTTTCCCTCAGAGTCAAAGTGTCCTTCTTGCATCTCCTCCTCCAGGTTAAAAGGAGTAATGGATACTCCTTCATCGTAGTCAATTGTTGCCCCTTCTTGGCCTAAAAAGAAAAAAGAAAAATTAAAGTTGGAATTACAAAACAAGAAAAAACTAACTTACTTTTTAAGCTAGGTAACAAGCTGATATTATTTAAAGAAGAAAAGTGTCTTGCAAAAGTTTTTTTTTTTTTTATTCCAGATGCCACCAAAAACTTTATATTGGTAAAATAAAAAAAGAGTGACACAAAGCAGTTAATTATGGAGAAGGGGATAAAATGATTCTGTTTTTTTTAACAATTTTTTAGACATAAAGTCCTTTAAAATACTGTGCGAAGCATTCTGGAACATTACTTTCAAGTCTTGTCAGATTCTTCGTGGGCTTTAGCTTTGGACTTTGACTAGGCTGTTTCAGCAAGTGAATGTTTGATCCAAACCATTATACTGTGGCTCTGGTGGTATTTTTCCCTGTAAAAATTGAGCCTCTGTCAAAGTCTTTTTTGGAGCCTCTAAAATGTTTCTTTACCATATGATCCTTAGTAGCTTCCCTGTCCCTGCTGATGAAAAGCTCCTTCACAGAAAGATGATGCCGCTCTCATGTGTTACCACTAGTTATATCTTCACGGTAATATGCAGTGCTTTCCGTCACACATAATATCTGGCACATAGACTACAAGGTTCACTTCTGGCCTCTTTAAACATTTCTGTGTTCCTTACATGGGTTGTGGATAACTGGGCGTCTAAAGTATTTATTTAAACAATGGCTTTATTGTTCCATCACTTAAACTTTTCAAGGCGAATTATCCAAACACCTGAGCTCTGCATCTCTGCAGTCATGCCAGAGTTACCACGGGTTCATATGCAGCTTTTTTGAGTAACGCCATCCTTAAAATTTGGGTCAAAATCCAGACCCTTGGCCTTAGAACCTTCCTAGGCCCAATAATACCAAACAGATGGGTTAAATGCAGAAGACAAATTTTACTCTCATGTTTTTCCACTAATAAAACATAAAAAAAATAGTGTCTTCTATTAGAAATGTGGAGTACCATTTCCTGTTTTCCTTTACCTACATTAACACTTAGTTTTGCTCTACCGCATAGAAACCCAAACCAGCACACTAACACTTATTACAGCAACATGACAAAATGTGAAGATGCAAGTAATTATTTGAAGAAGACTCACCCTCCACATCATCAGTGTCAAGAATATTGTATTTGCTGTTCTCTGCGCCGTCCCCCTCATCCTCCTCATCACTGTCGAGCGAGTGTTTACCCTTGAATCTGGAGCCTGGTCCACTGACCGCCTCGAAGTTCTAGTTTAAGAGTGGAAGAAAAAAACAAGGTCAAAAACCATCACAAACATTAACCTTATGTTTTGTGGTTTCACATCTTAATTAGAAGAAACCAGTTTCTGCAGTTCTACCGCTAAGGTATGCTCTAAAGAGTCACAAAGCATGAGGTGATTCCATCTCCTACCTGGCTTATGAAGCCTTGTCACTATAAAGAACTTTTAGATGTGGCTAAAGAAAAGATTTAATAAGCAGGGTATTTTATAGAAGCAAAACATTTTGGTCTTCTTATTTATAAAGAACATTTAAAACCAGTTAAATTCAAGCAAAATGCTGCACAGCACAAAAAAAAGAAACGTAAAATAGGTAATACGTTAAGTAATCAGAAAAGAGCGGTTTTAACTGTTTTGCTTTACATTCATGTTTCAAGATCGTAGTCTTTTCCACACCCATAAATACACTGCAAAAATAATCTAGAAATAAGTCAACATTTCTTAAATGAAATGTATTTACTCTTTATTTGAGTGGGTAAATAAGATGATTTGCTAATAGAATTAGTATTTCAACTCTTAAAAAAAGGTAATTAGATAATATGCACTTGACATAAGACAATGCAATAGTTTTTTTCTTATTTAAAATGTCAATTGTCTTGTTCCATTGGAAAAAGTGTCTCACTTACCTCCTCAATTCAAAAAATGCACTTATTTAAAAAAAAATTACATCTAGATTTTGGTTTTCTTTCCAGTGCAAGCAGCAGTATCACATTTCCAGTGTTTAGTCAAGTGCAGCAATTTGAAATTCCTTTAACATGCAATATGTAACACTAATAGCTTCAATCGGCTGTAAAAGATTTGGCATTGAGTCAATCAGACATTCAGGTTCCCGTTACTTCAAGCTAAGTTTAGACATGTCCCTAAATAAATGCAGCCACACACCAGCTTTATTATTACAGCAAAAGGGGTTAGCATTCTAAGCCAGGTTAGTAAGCAAAAGTTTTAAACAATCAATCCTCTTTATTGTCATTATGTAACCGTGATGACATTCTGTTGATACACCTGGCTTAGAACGTAGATGCAATAAGCAGAAACAAACTTAAAAACACAATAAAAATGAGCATTCTTAGA